CCATCTTGTCTAAGAACGTTCATTTTTCAGAATGGATAGTGAAAAAGTGCATCAAAAGGTTTGAACTTGCCCGCCCGCAACCTCGAGAGAAAGGACAGCGATGGTCTGAGTTGCGGCTTTTGTCAGCCGAACGGCGTCGGCCCACTGCAAATACCACAGACAGCGTGCACGTGTTAATCGTCTTCTGGACAGGTTCATAGTAGCAAAACAACGAAAAATAGAGAATCTACCTTTTACTATTCCATTTTCACCACCAGATTCCAGCACCACTTCGTAGTGCTTTAAGGGCAAATCCGTTCTTGTCATCAGTCTAAAAGTCGCACGCGTGAAATATGCGCCCAGACTGCCTTGTAGATGTAAGAGTTCATGTCCTGAAGCTTTCAAATGTGCTTCTTTCAGAAGCGTCATCATTTTGGTCCACCCGCTGGCCACAGCTCAGTATTAGCTGTTGAACCGACGCTGAGCGGCATACGGAGATTGTAACGCCTAGCGTCGAGGTTTTTTAAACACGATCTGCGAGTACGCGTGCTCAAAGTTATGCCACATAGCTTGTATTGCAAACCGATTTAAGTGCTTAAAGGTATTTTTCAGAACCGTTATCATTTGCATCCACCGGTGGACCATGATGAAAAGTTAACCACTGGACTAGCGTCCCGCGGACTATGAAGACTGCAACGCCTGGTGTGGAGGTTTTCGTTGCTAACATTTGCGAACGCGCATGTTTAAAAAAGCACGTTATATGAATTGCATCACTAATCGATTCTAAAGGAACGTAAAACATTTCCTGACAAACATGGCCAGGCGATTTTTTTGTTCTACGCCGTTACCCAAGAACAGGTAACCAGGAGTGCCCCTCCCTTGTTTAATACACATCGTTGACCACTCGATCTACGATCAAAATTTCCGCCCTCAAATTCTTATCAAACATAGCGATTTACAACCTACTTTCGTGATGCCCTCAATGTCTGTAGAAAGCAGATAAAACATAATGAAAAAGCTGCAGTACATTAAACCTCATGGCTTTGAGGCAAGCATGCGCGGCCGCACGACGCACTATACGGGAGGCGAAACGTGCAGCATGGTACAGCCATGTCAACTCACTGAATCGCCACACGCCGACGTCACATGCATGGGGCCGCATTAAAAGAATCGCTGGACTGCATCCACCAGTTTCCCTTCCCGCACTGCGAGTGGGAAGTCAAGACATCACTCACCCAAGTGATGTCACGGAAGCCGTTGGGGAAACCTTGTCAGACCGTTGCCGAAATGGCACCTGCGATCCACGGTTTTTGCGGCACCGGGCGCGATGTGAAGCTTCGCAAGTTAATTTTTATACAGGGGACATCCTGACGTAGAAGAAGCATTTGACTATGATGGAACTTCAAGCGGCCATTCGCTCGGCTGGTAGTGTAGCGGAGGGGCCGACCCCATCCACAATGATATGGTGCGACACTTTCCTTCCCGTGTACTACGAGCACTGCTGGTTCTTTTCAACTGTATATAGGAGTCAGGTAACTTCCCGCCAACCTGGCGACAGGCCATAATAGTGCCTATTTTAAAACCCGGGAAAAGTGGAGCGAACGCCCTTGACTATCGCCCGATCGCCCTCACATCTTCGCTGTGTAAGCTCATGGAAAGAATGGTGAATGTGCGGCTCTCGTGGACTTTAGAACGTTAAAACTTTTTTACGAATGTTCAGTGCGGATTCCGTAAGAACAGGAGCACGACTGACCACATCTTGACTTTTGATACCGCAGTGCGAGCCGGGTTTATTAGCAAACGTCATACCGGTGCCATCTTTTTTTGACATAGAAAAAGCTTACGTTACCACATGGAGGCATGAAATTCTGACGAAGTTACTCGATTGTGGCATCCACGTTCACATGGGAAAGTTTTTACAAAACTTTTTAACTGTCAGATTCTTTCAGGTGCGTGTTGTTTCTGATCACTTCGACAGGTGTCCGCAGGATAATGGTGTGCCTCAGGGCAGAGTATTAAGTGTCATTCTTTTCGCCGAGGTGATAAACGACATAGGGGACACGCTTCCACGTGGAATCAGCCGTTCTCTGTTCGTAGACGATTTCGCTATTTGGTGTAGTTCATCGACCACTCGCACGATAGAGCGACAGCTGCAGCTGGCTGTCACACGTCTGGAGAAGTGGAGTGTGCTCAACGGTTTCCGGTTTTCCACATCGAAGACAACTGCAGTCTATTTCTGTCGTCGCCGCCGTCGCTGTCCAGAAATGGAAATCAGGCTGTATGCCATTGGCAACGCGTCGCCAATGACAGTACCGTAACATTTCTCAGTATACGATTTGACCGACGCCTGACATACCGTGAGCACATAAGAAATCTCCGCGACAAATGTTTAAAATCTCTTAACATCCTCAGGTGCGTAGGACGTACATCATGCGGTGGTGATTGGAAGACACTCTTACTCCTATATGGTTCCCTTTTTGTTCAAAACTTGACTACGGCCGTTTTATCTATGACGATTCATCAGACCTGATCAAACGTACTTTGAACACAGTACATCACGCCGCACTATGTATCGCCACAGGGGCTTTTCGAACATCGCTCATAGATAGTCTTCTGGTGGAGGCTCACGAGCCCCCACCAGCATTGCGAAGGCAGATGCTGGGACTGCGCTACACGTGCAAGCTGGCGCAGTTCCCAGATCAGCCCACCTACAAAGCAATATTTTCGCGTAGCTTACGAAGGCTTTTTCTACGTCAACGGTCACCACAAACTTCTCCCTTTTGTGTACGAATGGGAGAGCTTTTAGACGCGAGCGGCCTCAACCTACGGCGTGTCATCAGACCTAAACCCATGAAGACTGCTCCTTGAGAGCTAGAATCGCCAAGAGTGGATGTTTCGCTATCAAACATGCAAAAGCAACGCGTTTTCATGAAGGAACTTAAAGGCACGGCCTTAGAGCACATAGCTTCCTTTGACGGATACATGATAACTTATACGTATGGTTCGAAGACGGATGCAGGTGTAGGGTGCGCTTTTGTGTGCGGATCCACAACACGGTCATTCACACTGCTTTCACACGCGTCGGCCTACACTTCCGTGCTTATCGCCATCAGCAAAGCTCTCTGTTTTATTGAAGTGGACGGTAGCAATCTGCATTTTATTCTTTACGACTCCTTTAGCAGTCTCCTGGCTGTCGGCGGCTTCTCGTCGAGTCCAGTGGTCCAGAACATTCAATCGCGTCTTAGCTCACTGAATCGAGCAGGAAAAACGGTCGTACTATGCCGGATCCCAATTCACGTGGGGATCTGCGGAAATGGCCTTGCTGACGTGATGGCAAAGCGCGCCACGACAAGGACGCGCATTCCTATAACACCACTACCAGCTCAAGACATGCCCCGCAGTGTCGTCGTTTAGGCAGCAGCGATAGCAGTTCCACTGGAACTCGCTGAGCGCCAACAAGCTGTAGTCCGTGAAACCCCGTATTGGACTACGGCAGTCGTGTTTTCGGGACAATCAGAGGAAAGAAGCTGCCCTTTGCCGGTTACACATAGGCCACACATATGCTACGCACCGTCACCTGCTATTGGCTGGCAACAGACCATGCTGCAGTCGGTGCACTGATCCGCTGACCGTGCATCACGTACTGGTCGCTTGCTGTCACCTTACTGCAACGAGAGCGCAGTTTTTCGGTCATTACGCCCAGAGTCGCACGCTATGTCACTTTTTAGGGGATTCTTCGCACGCTGTCGAGTTTGGTAAAGTGGTCCAGTTTCTCCGCGCTATAGATTTCCCAGAAATATTTTCATCATGATTCTAGGCCTGATCATCAAGGCTTTATAGGGTGACTTGATTGATGCACTTCCCTGATTGGCGGCTCTGCATAAATTGATAGATATAGGCGCTGCACGACCCACAGCGGTCGATGCGTCCTAAAACCCCAAATTATCATCATCATTTTGAAAAAGGTTCTGAATTATATTGCTTCAGAAAGTGTCCACTAAGCCATGGCAAATTAGGGACACCGGTGATTTATTCCATGCGGTCGCTAAACGCCTGATTTCTGCAGTTTATTGACCTTAACACACGCTCGGATGGGGGTCAAATTAATTCGCCCCCCGCAGGTTTTTCCAGAATGGTTTCCGAACGGGGTGGTGCAGCTGCGCCATGTTTTGCATAGTTGTAGAAAATTGAATAGCGGATCGTGTGGCATAAAACATTTAGACGTACTCTGTAAGTTCGCTGACCTATGAAAGGTCAACTCATGCTATGGTTTCAGGAAAGTCAGCTTCTAGCGAATCGTTCAATTTGATGCAACAATGGAGTGTTAGACAAAGCCATACATATCTGAAATGCTTTCTTAGGCAACACAAATATTGAATGAACAAATTAAGTTGACCTAAGGTCAGGTATAAAGATCACACCAAGGTCAAAATCAACCTGTTTTATTTCTCCAGGGCTTGCTGTATGAGATAGTTTCTGGTGCTCATTTCGAAATTTTCGATAGCAGGAGCCGCGTTACTCATCTTCCATGGACTTCTTAGAGGTCAGAATAGGCTATTGACCTAAAATGAGGGTGGTCAACATTTTGTTTTTGGAAACATACTGTCCAGCGTTAACTTTCTCACTTATTCAAATGCGAAACTCAGAGCAGTCTTGTATGATATTCGTCACCATGACCTTCAAAGGGTCAAAAAAGGTCACTGATTTCAACTGAACGCTTGGCCTTTTGCTTGCAAACCATTTTCTAGGTTCTGGGGGCACTGAGCATTAAGGTGGCAAGCGTCCCCCTTCTGCCCCCCCCCCCCGTCCCCCTGTTCCCGAGCCCATACTGCCAGTGGGGTTAGGAATCGCTGGTAAACCAAATTGGTTGCAAAGCATGGCTGCGCATGGCTCTAAGCGCGGTGTCACATATTGGCACCTTCCCCTGGCAAAAAGTACACAACAATATAACCACTTGTTTACCGCGTTCCAGCAGCTGCCAGATTTGACATGAATGCAGGCAATTACTGCGCACCGCCAAAGCAGAAACGAAATAAACGGAGCGAGGGTACCAGGCTTTGGTTATGCTTACAGCTCGTCTTCGGGGATAATTAAGGCTATAAAGCTGTGGTAAGTATTTTCATGACTTAAACACGTTTTCAAGTTGCATTTCAGGTGCGGCTTTGATATTTGCCGGGGTGTAGTCAAAGGGGGCTATGTACGTGCCCGCTGTGATTGTTTTTACGCACCTATTGGTGTGCAAATGTTGGCTATAAACCGGGGGAAAAGCTTTAAAAAAGCTTTAAACAAATATTTTAAATCCCTGCATTTTTTGTGTGTGTATGAGCTCACTTGTGATTGGTTGTGTGCAGTAGAGTGACTTCTGAGGTCAAGAACTTCAGTTTTACCCATTCTCATTGGGAAATCCTGCATGAGTTCATGAAAATCTGCATCTCTGTGTTCTGATTGCTATGACCTAGTAAGTAACCTAGTACTGTGGCATGCTTCCATCAACATATATGTTGTGATACCACTACATTTGTGGGAAACAATATGCATGTAGGTGTGGCAGTACTGTTAGTTTTTTCCTCATAGAAAGACCAGGAGAGAGCAGATTTAGATGTATTGGTGCATATTTTTTGTATGTGCCCCTTGCGGTTGTTTTCATGTGCCAATACCACAGGTGTGCATACAATTAAGTTCTAAAAATAGAAACTGGGAGGCAAGTAAACAAATAGATGGAAATCATGTATTGTTGTATTATGATGTTATATAAGATAGATGTATTGATACACCTATGTCTCCTTCCATCTGGCTATTTTTAAAGGAATAAGGCTTATCATACTGTCTTATCTTAGTATTTTACAATTTTAAGTTATTTATTTGAGTCATATTTGCCATGGATCTTGGTATGTCACCCAAGCATCAAGTAGTGCCCACCTAGGATATCAAAGCAAAATATTTTGATATCTTGGGAACAACTTAATTCTTACCCTAACCCTTGCCTATGCACATACGCTTTGAATGTACTTCTCTTTTCCCTCCCCCCCCCATCAGCCCTGGAGTTTCCCATCACCCATGTCTACCATCTAGACCCACCTCCACCTCATTCTGCTTCTCCATTGCAAGGTATCATTCAATACTCACTTTCACTTCCTGGTGTCACCAAAATCTTTTAATGGCTCACTTCTGCTTCCCTCCCTGTTCTTCTGGTGTGTTTTTCCACCATTCATCCCACCACTTCTTATCCCAGGCCTCACTGTTTGTGTCCAGTGTTCCAATCATTATTGTTCACCCCTACCTTGATAATTGTTATGCTCCTTTCCTATTTTCTATATCTGCCTAGGCTCAATCTCCTGCTCTTGACCCTAATCATGCCTTTCTGTGATTTTTCCTTGACAAACCAAACAACCACTGCATGTACTCATATCACTGATGTTGCATTGTAGTTGTTTGAATTGGTAAATTATGCTGTTGGGATAGGTTAGTGGGATCAGGGTTGGGTAGATAATGATTATGTTTTCAGAGAGTTCATAAAATGGGGTGACCAAATAGGAGCAAAACCCAACTTTTCGTGTATGCATGGCAGCATGTTGGCTGAAATTGACATCCAATATGGACAGAGTCCCTTATTGAAATCCCTGATTCTGCCTGTGTAGTCATGGTTAACAGACCATGTCCAAACAAAATACTTATTTTGTGATGTTCAACTGCTCAACATTTTTGCAATATTCCAGCTAAAAATGTATTGTGTAGTGTATGTTCTGGGTGACAAAAATGTGGTTACCTAGGTTTGTCTCACAAATGTCTTTTCAATTTGCAGACAGCCAAAAGTACCTGTTGAAGCATGTTTAGCAGTTATTCAGGTAGTTATCACATATCTGGTTTTGTGTTGCTTTTCACATGCACCACCTTCCACCACCTTCCACCACCTTCCACCACCACCTTCCTTTTTGCAAGGTGCTTAAAGAAGGGGAGTGAGTTTGTGATGATGACATTCATCTGCAGATCAGGAGGCAAGAATGTCTGGATATGGAGCTGGCAATGACAGGTTCCAGGGACCAGCCAGCAACAACCAGCCTCTGGAATTTGGTAACAGGATGGGTGGGGGTGAGTTCCTCTTCAGGGCCAGTAAGTCACACTAGAGGCTTTGTCTGTACTCACTAAAAATAATATCTGAGAATGGTTGATCCATGAAGTGTAAAGACACTTCAGAATACATGTGTAAACAGTCCCAGACATTCATGCATGACCTTGCAGCAGAGACACTCATATCAAAGCATATTTTGTTGGTTTCTATGATTATCTCATCAATGCGTATTTGGTTGTTTTCTATGGTGGTAGTTTCTCAATGGGCATTGTTATTGATCAACACCTGACCTTAAAAACACTGACATTATACCAACTCAGGCTTTTGATTATGTGCTTTGACTCGCGATTCACATGAAGCTAGTCAATCACCAGTCACTGTAGTTATTGCTCCTAAAAAACATGAGCACAGCTTCCTGCCACTGCTTCCTGGCGGCACGTAGTGCTGACGGTAGTTGCCGCGTCGGCCGGCAGGCGGCTCGCCGGACAGCGGGGACCGGCGCGGCTCTCGGGCGCGGGGTGGCTCTCGCGGCGGCCGGCCCGGCATCGGGCGCAGCTACCAGGACAACGGCGGCCCAGACGCCGGCGGCGACTTCAACGGCAGGAGGAACGGTGAGCGGTCCATCGGCGTCGCGCATCCGGACTAGACTGCTCTCGATTTGTCTCCTGCTGGAGCAGAGTCCACACCGACTCGCAGTCTGTGATGGTGGTCCGTGCTGCTACACGGACGCCGCAGCGTGACTGGGAGTTGACTCAGATTATGACTGAAGGTCTCCTGATTCTAACTGAATAACTTCATACTTTGACTGAAGGAATCCTGATTGCAACTCAGAGGTCCCGGTTCTGACTCGGTGGCTCCCGGTTGTGACTCAGGGCGTCCGCTCCGGTAGCTCAGCAGGCCAGAGCACCTGCCTTCCAGTCCACGCATCTGTGACCTATTTTCTCGCTATTTTCGCTCGCATGCTCGCTATTTTCTCATGACAGGGATGGCCCGCGGCCACTGGCAGTGGCCGCGCTAAAGGTTAGGTGATGTCAGAGGGCAGGAAAGATTGCTGGATGTTGTGACATGACATATGCTTATTCCACATCATGCAACAACTCATCCTGGATCACAGTTCTCATGGGGACCAATTCCATCGGTATGTCAAGACGACCTGTTTGTTATGGAGTTGACTTACACTCCGTGCAGTGTCAGACACAGGTCCGCTGATGGGGTGGACACAGGTCGGACATAGGTCCGCTGATGGGGTGGACACAGGTCGGACACAGGTCCGCTGATGGGGTGGACACAGGTCGGACACAGGTCCGCTGATGGGGTGGACACAGGTCGGACACAGGTCCGCTGATGGGGTGGGCACAGGTCAGACACAGGGTGCTGATGAGGTGGACACAGATCAGACACGGGTCTGATGAGGCGGACACAGTGGGACACTGGTCCGCTGGGGATGTTGGTTTGCATAGTCACGCCTAGGGGACTTACAGTGTAATCCGGTGGGGGCGGGCTTCGGCGGGTGTCGCTGGGGGTCTTCTGCGTGATAGACCTTGCCCACATGCTCAGTTATAGCGCCGCTCAAGGAGCATGGTCCGGGGCCGTGGCCCCCCTAGTGGCGGAGGAAACCACGCCCCTAGTGTGTAGATGCAACACACACGTGCCAATGTCGGTGGGTTCTGTCTGAATTGACAGCGAGCTTACAACGAGCGACTCTCTGTATTCTCATGCTGAAGTCATGCCATCTGAACAGAGACTGATGCCACTGACTTGATCTGTGCTCTGATTTAGGTGCCTGTAACACGAGTATGTTCTGGCTTGCACTGTCGTAACTGCAGTCACAACGTCGGGGCATGTGAGGGTACAGAAGTCTCATCGCCGCTCGCAGAGCAGTGCGGGGTTTGGCTAGCACTGAAGTGCCCGTTTCGGCCGGCAGATGTCTCCGGTAGTCGGCGAGACCGCGGACGCCGGGATGGCAGTCACAACAGCGGAATACAGATGGGCGGCATGGTGCCACGTACGTATGAGTGTCGGTCCAAGTGTTCCGCTACGCAGCATGTGGTCGCCTTGGTCATTGTGCGCGTATGGTGATTGCTGATCGCTCATCAACAAGCCATGGCTCTGAGGAAATGGGTGTATGGGTAATCGTCTGGTGCCAGGTTCGTGGCGTGTGCGTGGCCCTAGTTGTGGACTGGCAGTGCGGCAGTGTCCTCATGGCCACCAGTTGCTATGGGCAAGTTTCTCTGTTGATCCACCCTGGATTGACTGGGCAGTGGGGTCAGAATAAGCTTGGTAACTTTGCTTGATGGCAACAAAGCATTACCACACATGTGCAGCAATGGTTTGGATGTCACTTGCCTCGCTCGCCTCGCCTCGCCTCGCCTCGCCTCGCTCGCCTCGCTGCCTCGCCTCGCCTCGCCTCGCCTCGCCTCGCCTGCCTCGCCTCGCTCGCCTGCCTCGCCTCGCTCGCCTCGCCTCGCCTCGTCTCGTCTCGTCTCGTCTCGCCTCGCCTCGCCTAGCCGCCCCGCCCCGCCCCGCCCCGCCCCGCCTCGCCTCACCTCGCCCGCCTCGCCTTGCCTCGCTGCTTCGTCCCGCCTTGCCTCGCCTGGTCTGGCGTCCTGCACCTTGTATTTCTGACCGTGCCGGGCCTGGGTGCGCGCGGCGTGTGACCGGGTGCGACGGCGGTCCCCGGCAGCGGGGGGTGTGTGATGCCGGCCGGCCAGCACCTGGTGGCGCCCGGCGCTGGCCCAACCAAACAACGGCCTGCAGATGGCAGCACCCGGCCCGCAGCCCATGGGCATGGCCCAGCCGGGCCCGACCCCATGCAGATGTGGGACATGCAACAGCAACAGCAACAGCAGCCGCCGCCGCCCATCCCGCAGCAGCAGCAACAGCAGCAGCGTGAGTAGCACCGGCGGCGGAGCCAGGGGGATTGTGCCGAGAGCCAGACTGAACATGCCACCTGACAGTAGGCTTAAGGTAACATCGTCCTTATCATTGGTAAAATATCCGAAGGTGATCTGATGCCTGCCTGTCCCAATCCACCCTGATTCGCGTGCCACCCTATGATGACCCACAACTTCAGCCATGACTGACACGTGACTTGCCATGTTTAACAGCTGGAATACTGGGCGAACAATGGCGTGTAATAAGGGCGCTGGGCACATTCTCCGGAAAGTTTTCCTCCAGGAAAGTTGTCGTATTTCTCTCAGATTGTGGCAATTCAACGTACAGCGTGCACGGGAGAGGAACTCTCCCCATGCAGCGTCGCTGAGAGTTGCGGGCAGAATGCTCAGCATTTGTGGGAATAGACAGCCGCAGGTACAGACCGTTTGAACCATGGCATCGTTCCTCTCGTACATCAGCAAACCTCGTACAAAAGAGTTGGGCTGCTCGCAATTACTGGCGTCTGCCACTGTTCTGTCACTGGACATCTGTTGCAGCCCCCAACATGATGGGCTACAACATGCCCAACATGGACATGAACAACATGGGCAACATGTACAACATGGGCGGTGCTGGTGCTGTCGACCCCAGCATGATGATGACTCAGGTTAGTGACGTCATCGTGAGGCTGCTGTGTGGCGTCGTAATGGCCCAGGTGGCGTTCCGGCGCCGTGGCGACTCAGTATGACGTCATAGCGAGTGGGGTGGGCGTATGACCATCGTAGTCGCGCGCCCCAAGGTCCAAATCAGCATCATCATCAGAGCGAGTGGGCCTCGCGTTGTGTTATTGGCCCAAGAGGTGGCATCATTTTGATGTCGGGATTATGGTGGTATGGTCACCACTGTTCTTGATGATGATTCATGGCATGGTTAATGAGCTGTTCATTCGTCTGATGCGCGTGACGACAGCGTCTAGGACTGGCCAGAAGGGTCTTTTCACCCATATATTCCCTTACCATGACCCCCAGTACTAGGGCCAGCACTACTGCTACCATCTAGCGATGATCGCAGCCCCTCCCCGTGATGTGACGTTCCGGTGCCACAGGGCCAGTACACCTACTACCGGCCGGCATGCAGCAGCCGCTCTACCCCCAGCTGCCCGGCACGTGGATGCCCGACGGCAACTTCGTGGCCATCAAGGTGGGCGGACCGGACCCCGGGGCCGGTCAGATGGCACCCGCGTGAGGGGGGGGGGAGGGGTGGTCAGGTAGACTGGCCGCGGTAGTTTAAGCTCTGGGTTGTGGATCAGATAGCATGGTGCGCTGGGGAAGTCCCCGTGATCTCCCACGGCGGTTGGTTCTCGTGATCTGGATGCATCTGACTTAATTGCGAATTAACAATGTGCAGCTGCCAGCCCTCTCAGGGTTTGGGCCAACGCGATCAGACTCTGATTTCACAACAGAGAAGTCGTTCTGATAACTGAATTGAAACCCCGTATATCCGGAAGTCTCCGTCGTGTAGACCAGCCTCAACCGATGCCTGCGGCCGGTCTGTGCCGCACGCTCGCCGCCGCCCGCTTCCGCCGGCCGCCGGTGGACCGTGTCGTGTTCGGCCACCGGTGACCGTGCCGTGTTCGGCGCCGGTGACGCGTGTCGTGCGGCCGCCGGTGACCGTGCCGTGTTCGGCGCCGGTGACCGTGCCGTGTTCGGCCGCCGGTGACCGCGTGTTTCAGCCGCCGGTGACCGTGCCATGTTCAGCCGCCGGTGACCGTGCCGTGTTCGGGCCGCCGGTGACCATGCCGTGTTCGGCCGCCGGCAGGAGGTGATCAGTGCGCCGAGTGTGTGCTGTACCCGCCCAACCCCAACGGAGACCGCCCATGACGCGCGAGCGGCCGCCCGGCTGCCGCACCGCCTTCATCGGAGGCCTGCCCGAGAACATCACCGGGAGGGGACGGACAGCCAGCGGGACGGGTGGTGATGAAGTGTCAGGGGACGGGCGGCGACTGTGTCAGGAGACAGGCGGGGTGAGGAGTGTCAGGGTGACGGGCGGTGACCCAGATACCAGTGACGGTCTCCAGACTCTGACAGTCTCGCCGACTGTGGCTTACCCGGCCGGCCCGTGCGCCGCCCCTGCCTCGCTCTCGCGTGAGGTCGCCGAGGCCGGACTAGGGCGTCAGCTCGGCCTACAGGCCGCCTGGCGGGCACAGCCGGCCACCGACCGCGGTCGCACTGCGGTGCCGGGTGTCGTCCGTCCTTTGTTTGCTATGGTCGAGCACGATCCCACCGAAAAGCGACGTCGGTCCTTCGACCTTGAGCTGAGCTGCTCGGACCACCCACGGCAGGCACGAACACGCCTTGTGTGTTCCGTGTTCCGGGAGCACAGGGCCTGGTGTAGCGATCGGGGTCCATCTGTGGGGGCGATCTGCGCCCACGTCTCCGGCCCCACATGCGATGATCGGACGTGGGGGCCGCCCGCTGACGGAAGCGCCGTCCTCCCCAGAGGACATTCTGCGGGATGTGTTCCGCCGCTGCGGCCAGATCTCCAGCGTGCGCATGTCGCAGAAGAACTTCGCGCACATCCGCTACGAGCTGGAGGTGTACGTGGAGTACGCCATCATGCTCTCCGGCTACCGCATGCGCATCCGGGACGAGACGGACGCGCCCAACACAGGCCGGCTGCACTGCGACTACGCCCAGGTGCGGCGGCCGCGGGCCGAGATGGCGCTGCCGGCAGCCACGGGCCGAGATGGCGCTGCCGGCGGCCGGGGCGCGGCCGGAGCGCGACTGGTAGTGACGGGTGGCGGCACCGCCGCTCTGGCTCTCGTGCCCTGGTGTGAACGCTGCTCTTCACTCTCGTCTGTTGAGGCGCTCCGGGACCTCAGCAGCGGACAAACGCCGGGGTAACCTCGATGTCGCGTCCGCGGCTTGCCCAGATGTCACCACTGGTCATATCCTTGCTTCTTATCCACATAGGTCTGCATTCCTTCAGGTATGTCGTGCCACTAATCTCGGTATTTGCAGCCGCCGGTGTCATGTGCACCTGTGCAACTCCGTTCTGTGCTGATGTATACGAGCTCTTGCACGTGTTTACACCGTCCTCACATAATGTGGGACCGCCACCATCAGCGGCGCTCGCAGAAGCCCGCGCCGCTCGCTGACGGCTCTCGTGCCCGCCCAGGCCGCGACGACACGTACGAGTGGGAAGTGCCAGCAGCGCGTGCTGCGCGCGAGATGCGCCACGGCAGCGGCAGATGGAGGAAATGGCGCG